ATTGTTCATTTGTGGGTGAGTAGTGGGTACTCAGGAGAGATCAAGTATTCGTCTTTGGCCGAGTGGTAGGCATTCGGAATTGATAGTGTTCAATCTTGGCCGAGTGGGGGTGCTCGGGAGAGATCAAGTATGCGTCCTTGTCCGAGTGGCAGGCACTCGGGAGGGATGACGTGTTCAACCTTGGCCGAGTAGGGGTGCTCGGGAGAGATCAAGTATGCGTCCTTGTCCGAGTGGCAAGCACTCGGGAGGGATGACGTGTTCAACCTTGGCCAAGTAGGGGTACTTGGGAGGGAATAAATATTCGTCCTTGACCGAGTGTTAAGCACTTGGGAGGGATTAAAATTTTCACCTTGACCGAGTCAAGGTACTCGGGAGGGATTGAGTATTTCATCCTTGGCCGAGTTAAGGTATTCGGGAAGGATTGAGTATTTCATCCTTGGCCGAGCGTGAGTGCTCGGGAGGGATTAAGTAATTCAACCTTGGCCGAGTTAGGGTACTGATGGAACTACTTGGAGAAGATTGATGTTCTTCAAGTTTTCCATGCAAGGACCGAAGAAACTCTTGAGGTTGAACTCCTTGAGGTGGCGAAAACACCTTGGAGGATTCTCCAATGGTGGAGAAGCAATGGAAGTGATTCGGTTCTCCTTAGCTTGTGAAGGAAGCTTGAGGAACCAAGGCAAAGGTTGAAGCACCTTTGGTAGAAACCTAAAGAGACAATTCTCTACGGTTTTTAGGAGACTCTTGAGAGAGAAATCTGAAGTTTTATTTCTCAAATGTTCAAAAGTGATTACAAGAGAGGGATTTACAAATATATAGTGAGAGGTAGCTTCTAGGAGAAGCTAACCTTAACCATGGTTCACTAGGAACCATGGTAAGGTGTAGCTAACCATCCATGGTTTCTAAAACTTGTAAGAGAAGCTAACCTTGATCATGGTTCACTTAAGAACCATGGTAAGGTCAGCCCAACCTACCAAGGTTTAGAAACTTGGAGGAGAAGCTTCAAAAACCAAGAAGATAGCTTAGAAATTTCGGCCAAAGAGAAACAAGTGAGCTAGGCGGCCAAGGCTCCATTTCCTCCTTTGAATTATTTCAAAAATTGTTGATTTGGTTTAGTTAGGTTCATCAAATGATGATGAGACCTAGCTAAATCAAATCTATGAAAAATTAGGAGTAAAATGAGTCTAATATGCAAAATTTTGCCTAGGCCTAACTCAGGCCCAATTTCTAAACACACTCCCAATTTCCCTTGGCTCTCCCGAGTCACCGTTTTAACTCTTTAAGAACAACCTTGTTTGCCGCTTCTGCCTGCCCATTGGATTGGGGATGTTCTACTAAAGTCATCTTGTGCTTGATCCCTAATCCAGACAGAAAGTCATTGAAGCGGCGATCGGTGAATTGTAAGTCGTTATCTGTGATCAAGGCGTATGGAATTCTGAAGCGGGTGATAACGTTCCTCCAGAAGAATTTCTGCACATTGTTGGTCGTGATAGTGGCCACTGCCTCTACTTCAATCCATTTAGTGAAATGATCCACTGTCACAATGAGGAACTTCACTTGCCCTTTTGCAGGCGGGAATGGCCCTAAAATATCCATACCCCAAACAGAAAATGGCTAGGGGGTGGTGATAGAATGCAGTCCTTCAGGGGGTTGATGTGTCAAAGGTCCATGTTGCTGACATGGTTTGCATTGCTGGACAAACTTGGCACAATCTGCTGCCATGGTTGGCCAATAATAACCGGCCCGGACAACCTTGGCTGCGAGAGTTCGGCTTCCCGAGTGAGTACCACATATGCCTTCATGGACTTCTCGGAGGACATAGTGCGCCTGTTCAGGTGTTAAACACTTCAGCAGGGGTGACGAGACGCCCCACTTATACAGCTCTCCAGCGATTAAGGTGTATCGTGCCGCCATGGTTTTCATCTTCTTTGCTTCCAGGGGGTCGATGGGTAACGACTCGGTCAAGAGGTGCTCAACTATGCCGGTCATCCAACTGGGTGTCCCTTGTTGGACTTGCAAGCACTCGGCTTCGGTGACGCTTGGCTTTTGTAGTTCTTTTTGTATCATGTTGTGCAAATGACTAGTCTTTTTGCTGCTGGCTAGCTTAGCCAACTAATCGGCTCTTGTGTTTAGTTCCTGAGGTGTGTGCTTAATTTGGACATCTTCAAAGTTGCCTTTCAGCTTCTGGAAAGCATGAAAGTATAAAAGTAGCGTTGGCTCTTTGATTTGGAAAGTGCCGTTGACTTGCCCTGTCACTACTTGTGAGTCGCTCCAACATTAGATTCTAGTGATGCCTAAGTCGTTTGCCAACCTCAAGCATGCGAGAAGGGCCTCGTACTCGGCTTGGTTGTTGGAGGTCTTGAAGTCAAATCGCAATGACTTTTGAATCACCGCTTTACCAGGACCTTCTAGTATAATGCCGGCTCCGCTGCCCTGTTGGTTTGACGACCCGTCCACATGTAGAGTCCATACGTGCGGTTCGGGAAGTACTTGCGGGGTGAATTCATTTATGAAGTCGGCCATGCTTTGTGCCTTGATGGGTCCTCTTAGGTCAAAACGAATATCAAATTGTGACAGTTTTATGGACCAAGCGACCATCCGTCCGACTAATTCGGGCTTCCGTAATACCTTGACAATTGGGTTATTTGTCCTGACGAGGACTTTGTGGCTCTGGAAATAATGTCGGAGGCGTCTGACTGTATGCACGAGAGCTAGAACCATTTTTTCCAGATGCTGATATCTGGTTTCGGCTTCCTGTAAGGCTCGACTAATGAAGTATACCAGCCTTTGCTCCGGTTTCTCTTGTACCAACGCTGTGCTGATGGCTTTGTCCGACACCGAGATGTATATGATCATATCTAGCTGGGGGTCCGGCTTGGCCAGCAACGGCGGGGCTGTGAGCATCATTTTGAAGTCTTGAAACACTGATTCACATTCTTCGGTCCATTGGAACTTTGTTGCCTTTTTCAACAAAGACATTATGGGCCTTGATTTTTCTGCCATGCAGGGCAGGAAATGCGCCAGGGAAGCAATGCGCCCTGCCAGTCGCTGTACTTCCTTTACGTTACGGGGGCTTCTAATATTGACAATGGCTTGGCACTTGTCAGGGTTGGCTTCTATACCTCTCCTTGACAACATAAAGCCCAAGAATTTTCCCCGGCGACCCCAAAGGTGCATTTTGCCAGATTCAACCGCATGTGATGTCGCCTCACTTCGTCGAAGATTGTACCGAGGTCTTTCAAGTGGTCGCCGTCCGAAGTAGACTTGATTACCATATCATCCACATATACTTCCAAGCATGTTCCTATTTGCCGGCGAAAAATCTTATCCATGAGTCGTTGGTAGGTTGCACCAGCGTTTCTCAAGCCGAATGACATCACTTGGTAGCAAAAATTGGCCGAATCGGTGATGAATGCAGTCTTTCCTTCATCTGGTGGGTACATGGGTATCTTATTATACCCTGAGTATGCGTCAAGGAAACTCAATCTTTGATGGCCAGCCGCTCCGTCAACCAAAGCATCAATATGGGGTAGGGGGTAAGCATCTTTTAGACATGCCTTATTCAGATCGGTATAGTCGGTGCACATCCGCCATTTACCGTTTGACTTCTTGACCATTATCACGTTGGCCAACCAAGTAGAATACTTGACTTCCTTGATAAACCTCGCTTGAAATAGCTTGATCGTCTCTTCTCTTACTGCCTGAGCCCTTTCTCCTCCCATCTTTCTTTTCTTTTGAGCGATGGGTTTGGCGTCTCGACATATTGAGAGCCGGTGGTAGTGGAAGCTTGGGTCGATGCCTGGCATATCGGCCGCAGTCCAGGCAAATAGGTCCGAGTACTTTAGTAGTACTTGCTTGATGTCTCTTGCTTCGGCTTCCGACAACTGGGAACTCAAATAAGTGACTTGTTCTTCATTCCTCCCGAGTTGAAATGAGATCGTTGTTTCTATTGGTTCGACCCTATGCTCATCTTCCATCCTCGGGTCAAGCTCTAGGTCTTCTATCGGCTTTTGTTGGCCAACATCGCCGATGACGTTGACATCTCGCCTTGTCTTCGGAGTTGGCTGCACCTTTAGGCTGACAAAGTAACATTCGTGGGCCGTCTTTTGATCGGCGTGCAGAGTGATCACCATTCCTTCTTCTGAGGGGAACTTCATGGCTAGGTGGGGGGTGGAGACGATAGCTCGGAGCTTGTTCAAGGAGGGTCGGCCCAACAGGATGTTGTACGAAGTGTTAACATGCACCACCACGTACCGTACTTTAATCCTTCGCCTTTGCTGGTCGTCCCCGAAGTAGGTGTATAGGTCTATCGTCCCCCAGGTATCCACTCTTTCACCTAAAAATCCAACCAAGGGCTCGTTATAAGGTGCTAACTCGCGCTCAGGTATACCTAGCTATTCAAAGGTTTTCTAATATAAGATATCGGCTGAACTTCCCTGATCCACCAACGTCTTCTTCACAATACAATTGTTGATCTCTACACTGATGACCATGGGGTCATCCTGCACTGGATCAACCCCTTGGAAGTCCTTGTCGGTGAAGGTAATTGGTGGCATATGGATCGATCCTGCCCGCGTTACTGCGTTAACTGATCTGATTGTTCTTAGGTGTCTCTTGTGTGCCGAAGATGTGCCTCCACCTCCTGCGAATCCTCCGGCTATTATGTTTATCACCCTCTTGGGTTGATTCCGGTCTCGCTGCTGGTCGTTTCTCTCCGGGGTCCTGCTTCGTTCCCGGGATCTATGCCTCGGAGGTGCCCTTTCACGGTTCCCTCTTCCAGACTCCCTCTTATCATGGTAGTTATCGTATCTCTTCCTGCCTGAGGGTTGGGTGAAGTTTTGAAGATGACCTGACTTAACAAGATCTTCAATGCGATCTCGGGGGGCTGTGCATTCCTTCGTGGTGTGTCCCCGGTTCCTGTGAAACTGGCATGTCTTGGTCTTGTCCGCGTGGGGTGGAGTCATAGCGCGGCGGGGTACCACAAGGATTTCTGTGGCCAATGCCTATTCCAACACCTTGGTCCTGCTGGCGTTGAGCGGCGTGTATTGTGCATATCGAAGCCCCCTGTTGGTTCTTTCTCGATCAGGCGCGTCCCAAGGGCGAGGCCTTGGAGGATGTTCCTTTTCAACTTCTTTCTTTCCGGGAAAAAGGTCGGTCCGGTTCTGATTTTTGAACTCGGCCAACTCTTTCATCTGCATATACTTAGTAGCTCTTTGCCTAAGGTCGTCAAGATCTTGAGGCGGTTTTTTACATAGGCTGTTTACAAAAGGGCCTGGTCTCAATGCCGTGGTAAGGTGGTGCATTGCCACTGCTGGGTCTAGATCTCGGGTCGACAATGTCATCCTCCCGAATCGCTCCGTGAAGGTCCTTAGCAGTTCCTTCTTTTCCTGGCGGATGTTGACCAATGCGATCGAGGTGAGCTGGTGAGGACGGCTTGTGGCAAACTGTATTACAAATCGGGAAGATAAGGTTGTGAACGAGTCCACTGATCTTGGTGGGAGTCTTGTGAACCAATTAAGTGTCTGCCCTTTCAGTGAGGTAGGGAAGACTTTACACATGATAGCGTCGTCGTCGGTATACAACCAGACTTGAGTAACGAATGCATCGAGGTGTTCTTCGGGGTCGACGGTTCCATCATATCTTTCTAAAGCCAAGTTTTTCCAGTTGTCCGGCAATCGGGCTCCGACGATGTCGGGAGTGAATGGTGATTTCCCTTGCCGTCTTTGCTGATCCATGGTCGTCGTCGTCACCCCGCCGGGAGGCTGAGGGATTTTGGTCTCCTTGTACCATCCCGACGATTCTCCTTGGTCATGTGTTGACTGAGTGTTCGGGGTGCCACGGGATGGATGCCAGGAACGGTTGTCGCTCCTAAGCTCCGCATTCTCCTTCCTTAGGAGTGACAGCTCATGTGCGTCCTTCTCCCGAAGTCTCTTCAATTCCATCATCTCGGCCTTCAGCTATTCTATGGCCGATGATGGGTTGGGAGGTTGAGATCGATCGACGTATGACTCCTCCATTCCCTCTTCGTGTTGATTTGTCTGTTGTCTCGATTCTCGGGGCATCCCGAGGTTATGAACTGCTGCATTTTCTTGTTGACTCCTGGTTGCTACCATTTTACTACAGGGTCGAGAACCGTTTCGGTTTCGGCCCCACAGTGGGCGCCAAAATGTTCCTACGTAGAAACACTCCTCTTGTTGCTCCTTCCTTGTGATCTTCCAAGTCTTCGGTGCCGACCGAATACTGTCTCCAAAGGGTGGGGAGGGTACCTACAAAGGCACTCTGATGATCAAGTAAGTGTTCGGTATAGAGCGATAAAGGCTTATATATTGGATAAAATGTACCTCATTTATGTCCCATCACCTGTATATTTATAGTGACGTATTTGGGCCTAGTGGGCCTTCTATCTTGGGAGATGGGTAATACTTTGGTTAATCTTAATCTCTCTTAATTAGACGTGATAATCATTGTCTAATCGATATCCTAATCTGCCATGTGTTCTCCGTGAGTTGTCCTTCTTTTGGGTCTTCGGCCAAGCTTAAGGTCGAAGGGGTATTTGGCCAAGCTCAAGGCCGAAAGGGTATTCGGCCAAGCTCAAGGCCGAAGGGGTATTCGGCCAGGTTCGAGTCCGAGGTGTTTTGAGTGTTTTTCCATTCGACCGAGCTTAAGGCCGAAGATGTATTCGGCCAAGCTCAGGGCCGAAGGGGTATTCGGCCAAGCTTAGGGCCGAAGGGGTATCCGGCCAAGCTTGAGGTCGAGGAGTGTTTTTGAATGTTTCTCCTAGATGCTTCTCTGTCCATCTTTTGGAGTGTTTCCTTCCTCTTATCCTGGGAAAAGTACCCGGCTATTCCTAAGGCCGAAGAGGGGTTCGGCCAAGCTCAAGGCCGAGGGGGGTTCGGCCGAGTCGAAGGCTGAAGGGTAACGCAGGTGGAGGCATTCATCGATTTTGGTGCTTCTCTCGGCCTAGTGTCCAACCGAGAGGGGTGTTTACTGGTACAATAATAGATAAAAATTATACCAATATTATTTAAATCTCTCCTCTCTCACACACGTGTATATATACACACATATATAATTTTAATATATAATTTAAAATAAAAATTAATTAATCTTGAATAATATAATTAAAATTAATAAAGAAATGTAAAATATTTATTTTATATATTTATTAAATAGAATTTCTTTCAATGCTTTATTTTATAAAAAAATTATTAAATAATTTATCCATTATAAATTTTACTCTATTTCTTATCTATCTTTTACCTAATTAATTTTATTTTCTTACTCTACCAAGCATATGTCAAAATCTTAATGAAAAAGAAATTTAAAAGCTAAAAATAAAAATAACACTGGGTACAGATTTCTACCCTAAAAAAAAAAAAAATTCAAATAAGATTACCTCTTCTAACGGCGGCGGCGTCGCAGTTGCGTTTTTCTCTTTTTCAGCACAGCGCATAACAGCGTCAATGGTGAAACACTGCAGACCCCCGCTGAGTACACAACACGGGTTTCGACGTATCCGCTGAAACCGTGTTAGGGGCACATTGGACGAGTCCCATCACAACTCGTAAGTTGTAACTCACCCATTACGTAACCGACCCAGGTTGTGCGAATTTCACGAACACACGCTTCGCTTCGATATTATTCCGCTGCGATTCCGCATGCGATTCAGTACGGAATACCCTCTGCGTACCGTAACCTCGTGCGATCCTACGAGTTACCTCGCTATTTTAACAACACTGGTCGCACTCTACGCAATTAGGGTTACGTTCTTCCTTCAATGTATTTGGGGATGATGCGAAGAACCTCGTCGATTCATGTCTTCACTCTTCTTCGATACTCTGGTTCGTGTTCTAACCCCGCACACTTTCTCCTCCACCCATCGCACCCTTCTTCATCTTTCTCCACTAGTGTTGATACTCACAATCACACCTCTAAACAGAGATCCTCATTCCTCGATTCCATGAGAAACCTGAAAAATGTAGACGCCGCCTTGGATTTCTTCCACACAATGGTCTCAATGAAGCCCTTCCCTTGTGTCAAGGACTTCAATTTACTGTTCAGCATTGTTGTTAAGATGAAACGTTACAAAACCGCCATTTCGCTAATTAAACAAATCTATTCCCTAGGGCTGAAACCGGATATCTACACTCTCAATATTGTTATCAATTGTCTTTGCCGTTTGAACCACACTGTTTTTGGGTTCTCTGTTTTGGGACTAATGCTCAAAATTGGTGTGGAGCCTGACTTGGTGACTCTTAACACCATCATTAATGGGCTTTGTATAGAAGGCAATGTGGATCAAGCAGTGAGGTTTGCTGAGCATTTGGGAGAGTTGGGTTATCAATCAGATGGGTACACCTATGTAGCAATAATTAATGGATTGTGTAAGGTAGGTGACACATTTGGTGCTACCTCATATATCAAGAAGATGGAAGAAAGAAATTGGAATTTGGATGTTAGAGCTTATACCACGACTATGGACAGTCTTTGCAAGGATGGGATGGTATTCGAGGCGTTGGATTTGTTCTCACACATGACTAGTAAAGGTATTCAACCTAATCTCGTTGCTTACAATTGCTTGATTTATGGCCTTTGTAATTTTGATAGATGGAAAGAGGCTGCAACTCTACTTGGTAATATGATGAGAAATGGAATCATGCCGGATGTGCGGACTTTTAGCATTGTAGTTGACTATTTTTGCAAAGAGAGGATGATTTTGAGGGCTAAATGCATAATAAGTTTCATGCCACGTATTGGAGTGGAACCTAATGTTGTCACATATAATTCAGTGGTTAGTGCTCATTGTTTGCTAAATCAAATGAAGGATGCCATGGAAGTTTTTGATTTGATGATTCGGAAGGGGTTCTTACCTGACGTTGTGACTTATAGTTCCTTAATCCATGGATGGTGTAAAACTAAAAACATAAATAAGGCTATGGATTTCTTGCGTGAAATGCTTAATAATGGACTGAATCCAAATGTTGTCACTTGGAACACTCTTATTGGGGGGTTTTGCAAAGCAGGGAACCCAGTAGCTGCGAAAGAATTGTTTTTTATAATGCACAAGCATGGCCAACTTCCCAATCTCCAAACTTGTGCTATTATATTGGATGGCCTATTTAAGTGTCATTTTCATTCCGAGGCAATATCATTGTTTAGGGAGTTTGAGAAGATAAACTTGGATCTTAATATTGTAATTTACAATATTGTTGTGGATGGAATGTGTAGTTTTGGAAAACTGAATGATGCACTAGAACTGTTTTCTTGCCTGCCAAGTAAAGGTGTCAAAATTGGTGTTGTTACTTATACCACAATGATTAAAGGTCTATGTAAAGAAGGACTATTGGATGAAGCCGAAGACCTGTTGATGAAAATGGAAGAAAAAGGATGTCCCCCAAATCAGTGCACATATAATGTCTATGTTCAAGGATTGCTAAGGAGATATGATATTTCAAGATCAAGAAAATACCTTCAACTAATGAAAGACAAAGGTTTATCGGCAGATGCTACCACCACAGAATTGCTTATCAGATGCTTCTCTGGTAATAAAGAATATAGTCCATTACAAGAGTTTTTGCAGAAGTTTGCTTGAGTATTTAATATTGGTATATTTGGAATACCAACATTTGCCTGAGGGCCAAGACCAAGAAAAATCATATACGTGCAAATAGGTTGCGGGAGAAAACACCCAAACCCAAGATAGATAGGATTATTTGGCAGAGGTTCGTTTGATTTTGTTGATTTCTATTTATGTTCTGTAACTGGTGATGAATTTCCAATTTCATTTGATTATTCTTTGAATTTATAGGTCCCGAAGATTTGTTGATGCACTTGGAGAATTGGATGACTGCCTTACAATGGTGCACCTTTTTGCAGCATTACCTGCATCAGAGGGTAAAAAAATTGAAGTGGTGCACCTTCTGGCTAATTCTTATCTTGCGGAGGATTAAGCCATCATGTCAGAATAAAACAACTCAAAATGAAGGCTGAGGAGGGATTCAACATTGCATATTCTTTCAAGATGTGAGCTTCAAATTCACAAACATTGGAGCACTTCAATTTTTTATTTACTTAAATAATATTACTCAGTTTAGGATTGGAGGTTTCTGCTCAACAAGGTCCTTCTCTCCTTTTATTTTTGCCACAGATGTTACAGATAGCAATTATTTGCCACTTTTGATAAGTTTATCCAGCTGATTCTTGCATTTTGGGTTAAATGTATTCATTTCTTCTTTCATTTTGTTCTTTTCCGTCCCCCATTTCTGGTTGTTGGTTGCTGTCTTCTTGTACATCAGATTGGAAATTTAAACACACTGAATGAATGAACTGCTTATACATAGACGGTTTGAATTCAATATTCCCCCAAAAGAAGAAACATGGTTAGATATTGACTACTTTCTTGCTAACCACTTATGAAGGATGAAATAGTAACCGGCAAGTCTAGGGCACAAATAAATACCATGACACATAGTAGAGCTCAATTTTCTATTTCCTTGTTTTTTGCTTCTAATGAGTTGTTTTAAAATTTTTTTTATTGTCTTTAAATGAACCAGATAAGCATTAAGCACTAGAATTGAAGCTGTTTGAAGCAGGATATTGTTCTTTCCATGATTTGTATCTTCAGATTTAATATTTTTATTCAGCCTCATGTTTTCTTAATAGCTCAAAACTGTTTGATAGTAGTTGAGACTTTAATACTTAATGTGCTGCATATCAGTTTCAAGTAGTGAGGGCAAAGGTTTTACACCTTCAGGCTTCAGCACTAAATTCTGAGTTACTTAATTACTTTGTATCACATAATTATAATAACCAAAAGAGTTGTGATATTACCAGACTAAAAGAGGTGATTTGCGTTAAATTATCAAGCTTAAACCGAATGAGTAGAATGAGATTTATAAGAGGGAACTATGACGTGTATGGTTATGATTTTTTTGGGGAAAATATTAATTTTCTCAAAAGCTCTTTCTGGAATCTTTGTTTATAAATATAGAACAAATTCTTTAAAACAAAATGAATATTATTACATTACACTGAGTTAGGAGGATAATAGATCCTCCTCAAGATATAATAATTCAAAACCAGTAACCAACCAAACAATACATCAATGAAGCAAATCAATCCAATTCCTCAACAAAAGAAACAAACCCAATAAAATATTCAAGAATCTGTCTTTTCTATTTACAACAGCAGCGTGTAGTTGTCTAATAAGTCACTTAGTTTCTTTTGGTGATGATGTTTTCTGGTGTGAAGATTTGCCTGTAATGGCTTTCTTCACTTTGGAAATTGAGTGCTTCACCTTTGACCCTACACCGGATAGGATGCCATGAGATTTTTTGTGTGAAACTTTCGTGTCAGTGTCTTGAGAGTCCCTGGATATGACACTGATACTAGATGATGGGCTTATTTTTTCGAATTCTTCTCCTCCTTCATCGTCCTTTGTGTTGCTTAATTGAGTGGTTTCAGCCTCTTGATTTTCCAGATTTCCTGTGTCTGTTTTCTCTGTGATATCTGCAGATTCTGATTCAGAGACACCTCTGAGTTTGGCAATTTCAGTTTCCTTTTCAAGTTCATTAGTATCATTACTTGGACTTGCTTCTGCAGTTTCCAGTCCTTCTAAATTTGGATTCTTTATAATCAGGGTCTCCTGGCTCTTTGTTTCAGATTGAACTTCAGCTTTCTTTTCATTTTCCACACAGGTGTTGCCTGACGCTTTGTGTAAATCAAATGCCTAATTTAACATAAACTGCATCAGAACTCAAAGATATTGTACATTTGGGAAAATGAATAATTGGTTGTCTAGTTTATTTTGTTGCAATGCAGTCAAACCTCAAGAACTTCCATGTTCTTCACAAAATCATTGTCTGGTCTCTGCACTTCTTTAGCATTGGTTACTGCTGGTTCAGCTTCCTTTTGTATTTCTTCATGTATGCTTTCCTCAACTATCTCAACTCCTAAAGATGGTCTGCTAGACGAAGTTGAGATGGCTTTACCCTCAGGTACATCTGTCATTATACAATAAGATGTTAAAAGCAATCTTCCACACAAGATTGGCTAATATAGTTCATTTTTATTACATTTATGTTTTCTTCAAACTCAAAAACTTCCACTGCTAAAAGATGCTTTATGAGGCCAAACAATGACTATCTACATGCTATCTTCCTCATGGAGTTGGCTCAAGTAACTCCTTTCTTTAGAACACAAGTTTCTATCGCTAGACTTTGCCAAAGAACTCAAGTTTTGAATGATTCATAATATCAAGTTGGATCTATCTTTTGTCCTTTTGGGACACTCAATTTTAGTATATTTGTTTCTTGGATGACATATCAAATTGGGTAAAGATAAAATAGAAAGTTGCTGAATTATCAAGACATAATTACTTTCTATTTCTGGCTTTTGTAACTTCATACCAGTGGTTTCTTTCATAGCAGATTCTTCCTCTGGAATGATTTTTCTACCATTGTTGATTTCTGAGTTGTCTATAGAGTCTGAGTTGAGAGCCTTTTCCAGTTCTTCCACATCATTAGTCGATTTTGAACTATTTTTTGTTGTGACCGTTCCTTCTGAATTGATATGCTTGGTAATTACATTCTCCATGGTTTCATGTTGATCAATTGTCTGTTTTAAAATATACAATATCAGAATCAAAACTGTAAGTCTAAGAATGAGCAATTTATGAGTGTGAAATGCCATGAAGTTATGTATATGATTATTTTCTTTTTAACTTCATCATTGGCTAACCTCAACAACATTAGCCATTTGCTCAAGTTCATTTTCTGGTGTGCCACTATTGTTATCTATTGCTGCTGATTCCTCTCCCATAAGTGTTTGTTCCTGAACGTTTCCCTCAATCATTTCACCTTTAAAAATTGTGGATTCGGGAATGGTTGTCTGGGCTTCATCTTCTGGTACACCTGTTATACATTACGTGTAAGATATTTCTTTGCTATCATCCTCACAAAATTGGCTACATTAGTTCTTACATAGTATGTCATATATACCCTGTCGTGTAAACTGACAGCCTAATGCTACAACATGCTACTGCTAAGGACAAAGTTATTTTAGTAATTTATGATGCTTTCATTCACATATGGTATTTTGATGTTTAGTGCAAGTTGTTTCTTTTCTTTAGAAACTGAAAAGTCTCAATGCGATTTCATTGTTAAAGTTTATTATTTCAGGGCTTTAAAAAATTGATGAACTTTTACTTTTGGAAACATATTGTTGATTTAATTGTATCTAAGGTCAACTTGAAATTCACTAAAAAGTAATAAGTTGGTGAATTCTGAAAACATACTTTCTGTTACAGTTTCAAGTAACTGCCTTTCAACTGCTTTTTCCATCTCCTTTTCTTCCTCTTGTATGGAATTCCCATCATCGTTGATCTCTAATCTCTCTACCATATGTGATACCGGAACCTTTTCAAGTTCTTCAGTTTCATTAGTCGGTTTTATTTCTATGGTCTCTCCTTCCAAATTTGGATGCTTTGTAAGTATAGACTCCTGGCTGTGCTGTTCAGGTAGGAGTTCATCTTTCTGTTCATTTCCTGCACTGGTTTGGCATGTCACTTTGTGCAGATGCAATGCCTTTTTTAAAATATACTGCATCAGAACATAAAGATATAAGCCAAGAGAATAACTTTTTGTTGACAGGAATTAATGACTAACATGTGCGAGGTTGAAAATGCAATGAATATCTTTTATTTTCTAGTTTATTTGTTTGTAGTATGCTCAAACCTCAGAAACTTCCTTAATCACCTCGGACTCATTTTCTGATATCTGCTCCTCTTTAGTATTTGTCACAGCTAATTCTGCTTCTGTGTGTGTCGGTCGAATGCTTTTGTCAACTTCTTCAATACTGGCAGATGCTGTACTGAGTAATGTTTGCAGGGCCTTATCTTCAGGAACGCCTATCATATCATTATACAAATGAAATGTTGAATGCAATTACAAATACAAGCTTGTCTACGTTACTGTTTATCTGTACATCTATGAGATTTGTAGAAATGTAAGCGTCCCACAGCTTTATGTGGCCAAAGAATTACGCTTTACATGTTATCATCCACATATAAAGCTGAACTAATATGTATACAACCGATTTTGTTTCAAGAGATTTAAAAAATCACGTTGTTTTTCTTTTTCTCCTTTATGGATGAATAAGTTATTTGTGTTAGTTATTAGTTTCTAGGATATCATGTCAAATTCAATAAAATATAAAAGTGAAGGTTTCTAATGTTTTATAACTTGATTACCTTGAGTTTCATATTTTTGTATCTCCAAGTCAGTCAATTGTCTCTTATTTGTTGCTTCCTCTTCCATGTTTTTGCAACCATCTTGTCTCTGTAAATTCTTGATCAAGTGTAATTCTACAATATTCTCCATTCTGTCCACATCATAACATGATTTTATTTTGCCTTCTGAAATCTCACTGTCGTCTTCATTGATATGCTTTGCAATCACTCCCTGCATGCTTGATGCTTCTAGTCGGTGGTCAGAATGTTCTTCAATATCTTCACCAACCTTGTTCATGTTTTCAAGTTGATCAATTGCTTGCTTTAACATATAAAGTTTGAGAATGAGGATAAAATTTGAGAAACAAATTTAGAAAATAAATGATGCCCTTTATTATTATTATTATTATTATTACCAGTGGAAAAAGGCACTCCCTGCCTCTCTTGTTAAAGAGAAAAATAAAACAAAAAAGGGTAGTTATTTGAAAGTGTGTCTCTCATTTTAAAAAAGTTTAAACAAAAAAGAAATATTTGAGTGAGCTAATTATTTGAAAGGTGCAAATGGTTTATAATTTATGAAGGAGTAGTGTAAGGGTAAAACTGAAACTAAAATGTGTATGCAAAAAAGGCTGATCGTCTTTATTAATTGTTAAGATAATTCTATAAAATATAGTTTAGATATACTAGTTTATCTTCTCCTATTTTCTAGTTTAGTTTCCTTAGTCAGTTTTATCTAAATTCCTAAACTTTAGGGATTGATTATGTTTTATGCCTATTTATTTTATTGTACCTATTCAGATTCAATAATAAGAAATTATTCATATTCAAGTTGGTACCAGAGCTCTCTGGTCCAGGAACCCTAATCCAGCCGCCAACATCTAGGGTTTCTAGGGTTTTCGAGTTTTGCTCGCGGTTGTCGGAGTTGACACCGCCTGCACACTCAGAGGTCACCGATCGGCCTCTCCGTCGAGAGCCACCGTCATCCGCCGTCTCACGCGCTCTCACGCGCGGTTCTGGTTGAGGAAGCTCGCCGGCGCGTGGGCTTCACGCACCGCCCTCCCAGCCTCCGTTTGCGACGCGGTTCACTCCGTTGGACTCGCCGACCCTCCCTCTTCTCGTTTTGACCCTTTTCAGGTTGTGGGTCACACTCTAGGTGGTCTGTTGGTGATCGTTTGGTTGCGGCCTCGGAGTTCCGTGGTCGTTTGGTTGTTGTCTCGGAGTTTCATGGTCGTTTGGTTGCTGACTCAGAGTTCCATGGTTGATTGGTTGCTACCTCGGTGTTCCATGGTTGATTGTTTGCTATTTCTGTGGCTTTTTGATTGAGGTTTTCTTTTGTTGTTTTTTTCTCCTTTTGTTTTCTCTTCATGGCTCAATCTCCAACTTCGGCTCTAGAGCTCAAGATTGAATCTGAGGGCAATCATCTAACCTCATTATCTACCGATGATTACAAAGAGTATCTTCAATTGAAGGCAGCGCAACAAGCCTCTTCCTCTGTCACTGTTGCTCACACTGGTAATTCTACCGTCTGTCTCTCTCACTCTACGTCTATTGGACCTTGGGTTTTGGACTCTGGTGCTTCTGATCACCTAACTGGTAATGTCTCCCTTTTCCATAGCCTATCATCACCTAAAACTCCACATCATATCACTCTTGCAGATGGGTCAAAAGTCCAAGCCACTGGTATTGGCCAAATATCACCTACCCCTTCACTACCATTAAAATCTGTTTTACTAGTTCCTGGATGTCCTTTTAATTTGATTTCTATAAGTAAGTTGACTCGGTCACTAAATTGTGCCATAACCTTCACTTCCGATTCTTTCTTGATACAGGACCGGAGTACGGGACAGACGATTGGAGTCGGATATGAATCACATGGTCTCTACTACCTTCAGTCTTCTACCTCTACCATATGTGCATCTGTTGAGTCTCCTAGTTTAGTTCATCGTCGCCTGGGTCATCCAAGCTTGAATAATTTAAAGAAAATGGTACCTCATCTCTCACGCTTAGAATCCTTAGAGTGAGTCATGTCAATTAGGGAAGCATGTTAGAACTTATTTTCCTAAGAGTATTAATAGTCGAGCTGTGTCTCCCTTTGATGTCATTCATTCTAATGTTTGGGGCCCTAGTCGATTTCCTTCCCTTTTAGGGCATAGGTATTACGTCACCTTTATTGATGATTTTTCTAGATGTACTTGGATATTTTTGATGAAAAATCGTTCTGAGTTATTCAATATTTTTCAAAGTTTCTATTCGGAGATCAAAACTCAATTTGGCAAAGTAATTCGGATTTTACGAAGTGACAATGCTAAAGAATATTTTTCAGATTGCTTCAAATCATTTATGACTTCCCATGGCATTCTACATCAATCTAGTTGCCCTCATACACCTCAACAAAATGGTGTAGCTGAGCGAAAACATAGACATATTGTGGACACTGCTCGTACTCTTTTATTGAATGCCAATGCACCCCCAAAGTTGTGGGGAGATG